GTAGGCCCAATTCGTAACTCTCATCTCGAAAGTCAATGGGTTGATAGGCCCATCGAGCTCGATCCCGGGGGTATCCGGACTGACAAACAGGTGCGTTCCGCCGGCAGTAACATTGGTATGCTGCCAGTCGAGGCCTGCGATCCTGTATGCGACAAGTGTTTGGTTGATTGTTTCCTCCCCGAATGTGACGGCGACGGTGTGGCCCGTGAAGCCAAACTTGATACCTGGTCCTCTGTTGCTCGTCAGATGATGTGGCCATGTCGTGAGACTGATGGCAAGAACGAATGCGCTTACGCCCACCAAGAGATGTATTTGGAATCCCAACGCCCTTTGTAGGATATCTCCTCGGCATCAGCATCATAGGTTCTATAGGTCCCGTTGCTAAGGCTGATCTTGGTGTCAGGAAAGTTGACGGCACGGGGTCGGCCATTCTCAAGAATGACGGCTGACGCCAACGACACCAGCTGCAAAGCAGCAGCGAGCGAGCGGGACAACATGACGGCCACGGGGGAGATCGGAGATGGCAGACGTGACGATACGGCGGAGCTGCCGTACCTCCAAAGGCCTCGCACCTAGCAGCTAGTCATCTTTATAGATTTTCCGGCTTCGTCCACTCTCCATATCAAACCCTCTTTGAACTACAGCGGCAGCGGAGGTCCTCTAATCCAGGTAGCGGGAAGCTCGACAGATTCGCCCGAGATGACCTGACTTGACTTGACTTGAATTGGCCATGCAGGATGAATTGGGGCCTCGTGCATGATGTCGCCGAAGCTTGCCCCTTTCTGAGAGTCTCTTCAGGGATCAGAGCAGGGACGATCGGTGGCCGACTATGTTGGTGGAAACTAGGTATTTCACTTGATTGTCGACTTTCTGTGTGCCGTCGACTCCGAGCTTGCTAAGGAGGGCGGAAGGACGGCTTCCGCTCCTATGAGCCGCAGGCTGAATTGCAACCCAGCAGCGGCCCCACTGGCGCAGTACGGCCTGCCGACCTGTCATGCGGCCAGCATCAGGTCGCTTGTCGTCCGCGCCATCTGTGCTCCGAAAGAGGGGATAGATCTCGGTCGGAAGGAGATTGATATGGCCCCAGAGCTTGAGCAACTGCCGAGTCAACGGTGAGATCACGGGTGATCCACGTGACTATGTGTTCTGTTGAAATTTGGTTCGAGGCAGTTGAACCGCGCGCGTACGTTTCGCCGCCACAATGGATGTGGACGGGTGGCTGCATGAATTGAGGCATTGGCATCTGGGCGGCTCGGAGCGCTAAGTGAATATATGTGAGCTATGCATGGTGGTGAGATCGAACAGCTTGCCTACCTACCTACCTTAGGTACCTGGCGAGCAGGCAAAACGCATGTTGTCCTTACTCAAGGTGACGCTTATGTGGTTGCTATGTATGCGCACCTTTCTGGAAGGACGTACCGAATGCAAGGTACGTTATCCAGGAGTGGCACGCGAATGGTAGGTTTGATCGAGTGTCGAGAAGAAGTTTACCATCTGCCCTGTTTGTGGGGGTTGGGGGTGCTCTGTGCTCATAACGACTGCATCCCCCCAGTCTCCAGGGCGCTGTCAAACGGTAGTTGTCCGTGCCAGAAGCAGGGGCTAAATGCACAGGATTCCGTCCAGGAGCTTGTGTGTTGAGACTGGAAGTGATCTCTTTGGCTGGATTGCCGAATGTATAAAATGGTGGATCGAGCTACGCAGCTTGCCATGGCATTGTGGTACATCGGAGTGGACTTGATGAAAGGCTGGAAGAAGGGTTGGTGGTTAAGAATGCGCTATCAGAGTCAATGGCATCTGACGAGGATCACAAGATGCAGCCGAAGAATGAAAAAGAAGCGAAAGGCAAAGTCATACGAAGGTACCTACCTACCTACCTTGGGTACCTACCTATCTACCTACATAAGGTACCTACCTATCTTTCATTGCTCAGCCCTGGCAACGCGACAATCACGATCGGCTTGCGACTGCCCTAATACTCACATCAATAGTCGTGAGTGAAGCCCATCTCTCCTGCCGGTGTCTCTCTCTTGCCGGTGTCTCTCTCCTGCCAATGTCAACGCAAAGCCAGGCGAGTTCGGGAAGGAATGACGAGCCTGCATCCTTCTTCGAACAGGTAAGGTAAGGTAGTATAAGGTAGGCACCCAACCCAAGGTTCCTCCCCTCCTCACCTTGGCAGAGTGAACCTGGGCAGGCACGATCCCGTGCTCACTGGCGCCTCCAAAGCAAGCATCATCCAACATCTCCATCACGTCTGGGGACGACACCCTCACAGAATCCTTCATTCGCACCTCGGTCCAGCAACGCCCATCACGCATCGCCTGCTCGCCTACACACCACTACATCCTTCGCGGTTGCGCCTGAGAGAGGGGTTACCCCCCCCGAAATGTCTCAGCTCATCCGCCCTTGTCGTCACGAGCACGCCAACCGCCGGTCGGAATAGGAAGGCCAATCCGTAGGCAAAAGACAACGACAAACCCTGCGAAACCCGGCATCTCTCCATCTTGCATCGCGACGCAGTCGCATCGTCGATTTTCGTCTCATCTGGCTGGCGTATGCTGGCTGATTTGACCCACGGGCCAGTTCACTTTAGCTCGGCATTCAGACTCTCGCGCTTGTTCCTTTTGCGACGCCGAAATGACAGTCAGGTGATGCGTGCGCGCTCGCACCTTGCTTGGTTGAAGAAGAGCTGGCCACTATCGCTGTCGGGGCTGAGACAACCTCATCTTTCGCACTTGAACGCCCTTTCCAGCTGTGCGGGCTTTTTCTTTTGCCTCGACATCTTGTCCTCTGTCTGACATTTGTGGTCTGTGGCATTGTTGCTTCTCAGCCCACGGTGAGTGAGTGCCGAGCTCACCGGCTGCTGGTCTTTACTTGTATTGGCGAACCCCTTTGCCCCCCATTTTGTTTCAACAGGTCCAGTCTCCTCTCGCACTTTTCTTTGCAACCCACCACCGACCGCCTTTGTTACCCTGACACGGCGCCGTATATTCACCTTTCGAGCAGCATCCCGGCGCACGCTACGTCTGCACGGCTCCCGGACTTGGCGCTGCTGCCAGAGAAACCGGTATCGTGACTTCGGAACCGCCAGACCCAAAGTCGACAACGGGGTTTCACTACCTACGTGCCGCCGTTCGTCGATCGCGATTCGCCCGTCCGCCATACCTCTTTCTCGTGCCCAAAGTCAGCCTCTGATGCCCGAAAACCCCCACCGAAGACCATGACGCTGCCTGCGCATCAATCGCCGAGATCAAGGCTGCTGTATCCCTCCTCTTCAACAACCGAGGAGCCACGCCATTCGTCCATCGAGGTGCCGTCGCATTCAACAAAGCTGCAGGCCGCCCTTGAGCCACCCCTCCACCACGACCTCTCTGCTCGACATCATTCTCGCGGCCGACGACATCGAAACGTACAAATCACACGTGCCTGCCTCTAGAACCAGTCACCAACCATCAGTCAGATTAAGAAGCATTGCACCTGGCCTGCCATCGGTTGAACCCCGCCGCCCCGCACGGCGCTGCCGCACGTTGGCTTGCCGTCGCGCTGAACCATGTCGGCCTCGCACGCCAATGCCGTGCCGGACACGCAGCTGGGACTGTCAAATGAGGAAATTCAACTGTTGCGACAAGGCCAGGCAGCCGCTCTCGGACAGGGGGGCGCCGGCGGGTCGAATTCCTCCCGTGCCGCCAGCCGGGCATCGAGCCAAGGGCTTCTGATGCTCGACAGCTCCTCACTAGCATCCTTGGGGCGCTATTTCGAGCGTGTCATGGCGCAGATCGAGCAGCAGATACACTATCTCAGCGAGCAGAGCCAGACGTTCACCATGGCACAGTTCGATCGCGCCGGCAACCTGATCGACAATGCTGACCTGGAAATTGCACGGTATCACGACATTTTGCGACAGTTGGACGAGCTGGACCTCGACTTTGACAGGATACGACATATCAAGGAGATTGTCGTGGGCTATCGATCGCGCGTGGTGGAGATGGAGAGGGAGCTTGAACGGAGCGGCGGTGGATCCTCGTCGAGGCACAGAGACGGACATCGCTCGTCGTCCAGTCGACACGGCCACTCTCACAGTCACCGGCATGGCCATGAAAGCTCGAGGAGACGACATTGAACGACATGGAACGACACTCGCGTCGATTCAAACACACTTTCACGACATAACAACAGGTAGAATCTACCGGCCACGCGGCCACAAACACAAAAGCCAAAACGAAAATAAGGGGTGAACCCAGCAAAAACAACCTACATACCATGAGCGGGAAACAACAGGACCGCGGGGTCTCTAAAAACACAAACAAGGAGGCTCAGGAGGGAGGGCTCGGAAGACGGATCATCAGGCCTCGCGGCTGGTCGGGACAAGATGGATTTGGCCTCACGGCTCGTTGGATGCTTCATTTTTTTCGTTACTGCTTTCCACTACGGTGCTTGTTATATTTTCTTTCTCCTTCTTCTTTTTCTGTGCCTATATTGCCCTCGGGGCTCTGTGTTGGGGCGTCGACTTTTCTTTCCCTGTTCTCCATATTTGTACACCACAAGCAGCAAGCGTTGGAACTCAATGCGCCGTCACACACACCCCTCTCACAGGCTGGTGGCACGATGGTACGATACCAACTTGGCTGGCGCAGGAGTATTTTTTTTATATTTGGGATCCTATGGATCTTACAGTTTTGCTGCCCACCCTCGGTTTCGGCCCAGGCGCTGTAGGTATCCTGACGCAGTACGGTCACGTAATCATTGATGGAGCGGTTGTTGCAGGATACCCGGTTTGGCCTGACGATCAAATATCACGAATTTACGTTCCTCTCTGACCTGCTCCCGAGCCCGTGACTGTGCCAAGCGTCAGAGGCCATGTCGGGCTGTTGAACCAGCATGACAACACCTGCCTCAATTGCGTTTTTCCTTTGAAACAAATTCTATTATGCGCTCCAAGTTCGAGTCTCGAGCCACACGCTGCATGAAGATCCTCCGCCACCGGCCGGCGGCAATAGACTAGACTAGACGCTACCCTCGACCCGCACGCCGCCATCCCTCGCCGCCGTCCGCGCAACCTCGACCTCCTCGAGCGCCAGCCTGTCGCCGCCGCCCAGGACCTTCTCCCTGTGCCAGGGCCCGACAAACATGCCCTCGGGGTCGGCGCCGTCGCGCACGGCGCGCCACTGGTCGAGGTCCTCGCCGTAGAGCGCGGCGATGCGCGCGGCGCCCTCGTCAAAGTTCTTGGCCCAGTGCGGGCGGCCGCCGAGGTCGAGCATGAGCCACTCGAAGGCCTCGTAGTAGCGGGCGCGGCACGGCGGGTCGGTGAGGTAGGGTCGGTAGAGGGTCGCGTTGAGGTAGAGGGTCGGGCCGTCGGGGCGGGTGGGGTCGAGGTAGGGGCGGGCGTTCTCGGTGAGGGAGGTGTCGCTGACGCGGACCTCGACGGGGGCGTGGACGTAGAGGCCGTCGGCGGAGAAGGGGATGTTGTGGGGGACGTAGTCTGGGTCGGCGGGGTCGAGGTGGTTGAGCCACGAGGAGAGGCGGCGGAGGGCTTCGGGTCCCTTGTGCAGGGGGATGGCCCACTCGTTGACGAACTGTGAGTAGAGGCAGTTCATAAGGAGGGCCTCGCCGGAGGGCTGGACGGCAGTCGTGGTGGAGCCGTTGGCGAAGCCGTATTGCATGCCAAAGACGAACCACTCGACCCACGGCAGGACGCGTGGGACGTGGTGCGCGAGATACAGGAGGTTGTGGTAGATGTAATAGCCGAGGGCGCCGTCGTAGTTGCGCACGGGGGGCGGGCGCACCGGCTCGTCCGTCTTGTTGGCTTCCCAGACAACGGCGCGCCGCGTGTAGGGGAACCACCAAACGCGGACAAACTCGGAGCGCGTCCAGAGGTCTGCGGTCCAGCGATCGAACATGCTGCGATCCGTGTCGATGACCTGCTGCCATCCGAGCGTAAAGGCGGGCACGGCACGGAAGGTGATTTCGGTGATGATGCCGAGGGCGCCGAGCGAGAGGAGCGCAGCGCGGAAGAGTGACGGATTGTCGTCCTTCGAACAGGACTCGGTGTTGCCGTTGGCGAGCGTGATGCGCAGGGCGAGAATGTCCTCCGACATGAGGCCATGCTCGACGCTGCTGCCGTGGGTGCCGGTGGAGATGGCCCCTGCAATGGACTGCTCGTTGATGCTGCCCAAGTTGGGCATGGCGAGGCCATGCTTCTGCAAGTGCGCGCACAACGAGTACAGCCTGATGCCGCTCTGCATAACGACGACACCCGTCTCCTCATTGACAGAGAGAACCTTGTTGAAATTGTCGAGGTTCACGAGCCAGCTCGAGGTGCAGGTGATGTTGGAGGGCGAGTGGCCGCATCCCGTCAGAACGATGCGACGACGACATGTCCGCGCCAGGTCTATGACCTTTTCGACTTCCTCGAGAGATTCTGGCTGGATGTACAGCTCGGGCAGGGACGAGAAGGTCTTGGCCCAGGTGGAGTGGATATGATTCGGTCGCGCGCGAAAAGCGACTTCGGGATCGCTCTTCGCGAGCGCTGCGACCAGCTGGGGATGCATTGCGGTGCAGCTGTCGAGGGAGAGTCTTCGCACAGATGGTGTCGTGGGATGATGGCGATCGGGAAGCGACTTTCGTTCTGCAAGGGTTCGTGGTGCGCCGACGGGGCGGTTCGAATCGGCTGGAGGGGCAGGGCAGGGGGGGGAGAGTCGACGATGCACTGGGAACGAAAGAGAGAACGAGACTAGCAACGCGCCAAACGTGCAAGAGTGCAAAGACACGCCACTTCAGGTCATCGTCAGGATCTTGTCGAATAGAGGGCAGGTTGTGTTCGAGAGGAGAGGCACGGAAAAAAAAAAAGGTCAGAGGGGAGGAGAGCATTGAGACACTACAAGCATGTTCACGTTGGCGGGGCTCAGAGCTGCGATCTTAAGACGCCGGTGGGGAGGAGAGATCGGGAGAATGCCTGCGCACGTACATGCGCATGTAATTTTTGGTTAAAAGATTTCCCTCAGATGCTGCACAATCCGATGGGTTAGTCGGAATGAGCTCATCGACTTCGGTATTTGACAGGCCTAGCGAGCTGTCGCAGGCAAGGCTTGGAGCGCCGATCGAGACCCTGATTGGCGATCTGGCCGAGTCAACGAGTCACCGCTTTGTCAGAGCTCCCGAAGCTTTCCGCCGATCGCGTTCAGATAAGGAACAAGTCAGGGACCAGACATAAGACAGGGCCAGGGCCCGCTAGGTCCGGGGCGGCACAGAGGTGCATGTGCATGAGGATTTCAAGCCACTCGTTGTCTGAACGAGTGAGGCTATCATCAGGCCACTGAGCCTGTGATGAAGAGGGGGAAAACCTGCTCTTGCTAGGCCGGCCAGGGTGAGAGGAGGAGGCAGACGCAAAAGAAGGAGAAATAAAAACAAATGATGTACGTGTGCCCTCGGATTAGCTCTCAGGTTCTCACCGACAACCACCAGCCCGCGGCAACCGATTGGAAACCCCAGCTGTGCTGTCATGCAAATTTGGCTTATTGGTCGTTTTGGGTCGTCATCAGGCATTTTGTGAAAGTTTTATCGTACTGGCTTGCGCAACCACTCGGTCGGCCGCAGCACAAACGTCTCGGAAACACGCCGACCGCTCCGATTGAAAACTATTTTCGACCGTCATGAGCGCGAGCTTGGCTCCTCGCCGACAGACTGCTGGCTGCTGGTCAAACACCCCCGAGTCGACCTGCATCCAGCCTGTCGTGTCGCCGGTGAGCAGTGCGCTTCTCGGAGTTGACGCTGTCGTCATGGCGGTCTTTTCCTGTGTCTTTTGACTATTGTTGCTGCCCTACAGAGGAGCTGCGCTGCCCATACACACCCACGAGGGGGTGCCTGCTCCGATTTCCGTTCTTTGATTTTGCGGTCTTCACTTCATCCAGAGGGTTCCAGAGGAACCACAGCGGGAGAAGTTCACTCATCGCTGTGAGGTTTTCGTCATGGCAGAGGGGTGTCGTGGGCTGTAGCAGGGGGAGGGGGGTTGAGGTGTGCGAAATAGACAGCATGCGGAGGTGGGAAAAAAAGGCCGTGACAGGCAAGGTCCCTACTAGTAAGTACGGATGAGGATGCTTCGGAGAAAACGTTACTTTGGCAGGCTGGTAGACGATGCCCAGGCATACGAGAGGTGCTGCCGAAGCGGCACGGTGAAGCACTTGCTATTGTCGCCTTTGACTTGACAGATCCCTCTCCTGCTCGAGGGCCAAGGCTCTTCATGCATGTGTCCTTGCTGTCTTCGGGTCTGAGTAATGTTGGGATCCAGGGGAGCGATGCTAGACATTGCAGGAATGGGTGTCTTCGGATTTTGAGGCCAGACGCGAAGCTGGCGCGGCAGTCGCAATGGATCGGTTCGTCCTTGTCAGAGTCTTCGAACACGTGCAAAAGGTATGACGGATGGTTGACATGGCTCGTCGAGGAGACTCAATCGCGGATGGTAGAGAATAGCGAGACCCGGTGCTCGTGGTAGTTGTAGAAAAGACAATGGAAGGCTGGAGACGCGTCCTGTCGCGACATTTCGGTTGGGAGCTCATGGTGCTGGGGCTGACTAAGGTGCTCGCTGGAACGGGTGCCTGAAGAAGCGGATCATCCACTGGCTCCGTGACTGCCTGTCGCCTTGGTAGTACGGGCATGGAGCAGCCCTTCATTTACACCTACTACTATCTACCTAGATCAGACTTGACTTTTCGGCTCACACTGCATACGATCAAGGACTTGTCTTCCTCTGCGGCTCAGATATCACCAACCAGGACCAACATGCTCGGCACACGTGTACTCGCATTCAACGTCTGTCCTGCCGTCACCGACCCTCGACGCCTACCATGTGTCGCCTTGGACCACATGGTTACAGGCTGACGGTACAACCATGCACATGAGCAAACATACAGCCGTTCATACCGGAAAGCCTCAACGCACTTTCAGGCAATGTCCAGGCGCGAAAAGGCTGGCTTGCGACTTGGCCTAAAGACCCGCGCCTCGTCCTCACAGCACCTACCCAAACACGATGATGCTAGGCGTTTTCACCAGACATATTTGGCTTCCGAATCTTCTACAGCTGTTCTGGAAGCACGCCATCAGGGTACTCTCGACGTGATTGACAAGCGCCGGGCCAGGACGGGGAAAACAAGCTCGCCCGGGTTTCTATTTCTGTTGCGGCGAGGCCCATGATAAGGTTCACTGGGAGAAGCATTCGCCACCGCCCGCCAAGCAACCTGCTCTCCATCTGTTCAGCTTCAGTTGAGCCCCGCCTCACAAAGTCGAAGCAGTGGTCAAATTAAACACAGTCACCTGGTGCGACCCCGGGACTCTGGCGGCCCAAACGAAGCAATCAGGCACGCCGCTTCCTGTAGCCGTCACGTGTATACCGTCCATCCGGTATGTCCCTAGGACATCCACTGACTCTTTTCACCTTGTCATGGCATGACGCAGTTTCTGATAGCATATTCTCTCATTCGCAGGGTACCGGCAGAAATTCACGCAGCATCTGGCATCTGTCCCTACAGGCGACCTCAAACATCGATTCGGTCCATCTATCCTCTCGGACAGCACGATTGACACCTGCAGGTGCGGTGCCGCGTCACGACGCCAGTTGGCAGAGGTGGCGATATGCTTGAGGCTCGGCATCCAAGCCATGCACCCGCCAACAGCCATGCGCAGCCCTTTTGCCCAGGCCCTACATTGTGTTCCACGGCCCGTCATGTGCAGCACCGTCGGCATCGGCACTTTGCTTGGCCATACACCCACTGCTTAGGGATTCCCCAGAACTGCATCCGCAGTCGTGTCATGCATTTGAGCTACCAGCGCAATCCCATGTTCTTTCAAAGATATTAGTGCATGGGCGATCACAAGGCGAACGAGATGAACCGCCCTGGGGAACATGTCACCCGTTTCTTCTGGGGTAGGGGTCGGCCCACGAAGTGAGGCCCGCTGCCGGATCGACACGGCTAATTCGCAACGGGCCAAGGTTTAACATACTGCGCCGTCCACGTTGTTGTGGCTCAGGGGAATCGCCAAGTCGCCTCAGTCTTTTTGGCCGCGTTGAGACTAAGTATGGTGCGAAGAGCGCAGGTGCCAAGACGTAGAAAGCCCTCTCAAGAAGTCCATCGTGATGCTAGCCGCCGCCCCAATCCACTAGGTGACCAGCACCACCCGTGCATAGCGGTTGTCGGTCTCAGCCATGCCATGATGCTGCGGACGGCGCACGGGAAGCCAACTTGACAGCTCGTGGCGAGCCACAGGACACTTGTCGGTGACGGTCATGTTTCTCCTGCGAACCAAAGTGTGCGATGAGTTCGTCAGCCAAGTCTAGGCGCGTGTATATGATATCATGGTATCCCAGCGTCTTGAAGACTGGTTCTGGGGATAAGCCGTGACATGCAACCGCCGTAACATGCGACTACTCAATATTGTCGAGTTCACTAGACATTGTCATTATCCTCGATCTCTTCGCCATAGGCATACCCCTGAAACTCCACGGTCTCGCACAATCTTGACTTCCCTGGCATCTTGTTCTGGACGACCTGCAAACTCCTCATCACATCACTTGCCCCAGTATGTGGTCTAGACAGATCCTTGTCCTGATCACGGCCCTCGGCCTGGCCTCATCTTCTCTCTTTCAGCGCAACGCCAACACAGACCTGTCACTCAGCCTGCCGCTCTCGGTAACAAATGCCTCTCCAGCCCAAACCATCTCGTCTAGAACAACACTTCGCATCCTCTGCGTGGGAGATTCCGTCACCGTAGGACACGGCAGCAAAGATTTGAACGGGTACAGAAGCGACCTCTCAGAGCGCTTGTCTAGGAGTCAGTCAGAACTCACGCCAGCCCGGGATGGCAGCGTGCTGACCATGTGACCAGGTAACGAGATCGAATTCGTCGGGACAGAACACGTCGGAGCAATGCGCGACGGCTATTTTGTAAGACGAGAAAATTCCCCGCGGCATGTCGACGAGTGAACGTCTGACCATTCACAGGCTGCGTGGAACGGCAAAACCATACAATTCCTCGCCGAGCACATCGGGCCGTCCCTCGAACAAGAACCAAACCTCATCCTGCTGCATGCGGGCACAAACGACATGGCCTCCGTCGAGCGCATCGCAAAGGAGGGAAACGACCCCGCAGCGGCGGCCGGACGGCTCGGTGATCTGCTCGACCTCATGATCCGGGCGTGTCCCGATGCGGTCATCATCGTGGCAGTCATCCTCGGCTCGTGCCAGACGGACCGGGTCGCGAGGACCGCGGAGTACCAGGCTCTCATCCCAGACGTCGTCAGGCGACGTCTTGATGACGGATATAAGGTCCTCGCCGCGGACTTTAGCGCTATGCCCCAGAGTTTCCTGCGCGGTGACTGCATCCACCCGTCGATGGATGGGTACAAAGAGATGGGCAGATACTGGTATGACTTCATAACGCAGGTTCCCGCGGCTTGGTGGCTGCCGGCTCCGAGTGCGGTTGACCCGGGACGTGGTGGCCAGAGGGTAGATGTGCAGTCGAGTGGTGGATCGCTGAGGCCGACGGCATGGTTTCTTCCGGTTCTTGCCTGGCTTATGCTTGGCTGAGTCAAGGTGTTGAGGAATTGCATTTTAAAGCATCATGAAGCGACGCATCAGCATGGGGAAGATTTTGTATTAGGATGACTGCGCCGTAACAACAGGGCGAATGGATGATATCTCTCAGGCGCCTCAAGTAAACAGATTTTGGTTACCTGTGCTGTTCAAAACTCCGTGCCTCTTCTAATTTCGCCTCAATCTTGGCAATCACGGCCTCATCGTACAGATCTTCGTGCTTGGAGTCTCCTCGCAAGATCATCTTCTCGTGCCTCGTCGCCTCGTCCTTTGTCATGCAGACCAAGTCACCAAGGCGCACGTTGGAACTCTTCTGTTCGTCGGCACCCTCTCCGATTCGTACCATCGTCTTGCCCTCCGGCTTCCTCCACCTGATGAGGACGTTTCTCGTCGGGATGCCAGTCACAGCACTACGGCCCCTCCACAGCTCCTCGGCGAGAAACGCAATGTCACCGGGTGTGATGGGTGTCTTGAGACCCTTGGCTACCTCTGGGTCGCTAGATCCCTCAGTCATGCGTGCAAGCTTCTCCTCCGTGCTCTGGATAAAGGCCAGTATGCTGTCGTACATCTTGTCACGGCCCTTGCCGGGGATGTACTCTGTCGGATAGCCTATCGCGTGTCAGTGTCCCGGATGGCTGATTTGCCTGGGGAGGTGAGGGATCAGGGGGTCGTACCAGTGATACTCAAGATGATATGATTCGCAATAACATAGCCAAACACCGCAGGCATGGTTCCAAGCACAGGAAGGATGCGCACCCTGAAGTTGGGCAGGACACCCAGATCGCCGACCTTGCCCTTCTGGAACTCCTCTTCAGCGAGGGGCAGGAGGCCGGCCTTCCCCTCGCCAGTCTTCTCAGTCGAGAGACGACGGGATGCCGCTGGTAATGCCCTGCAACTTC